ACAAGTATTGGTGCGAGCAGTGTTGTCGTTACAATGAAGCCAAGCGGTACGTTGAATACGAAACTCTGCCCAGGCTCCTTACCCTTCAGCTCAAGCGCTTCTCCTCTTGCAAGTAAGTACAATCGTCATGTTTTTCATCACTGCCCATTTAAATCAAAAGGAAATCCGTATTTTCATCAAAAGGAATCGCGCATTTAAATCCATTCTAGCATGAGCTCTTAGATTCATAAGATGCATAACAGGACTCATGTCAAAATGGGCATTGTTCCCTCTGCTTCAAAAGTGTCCAAATCTGTGGGCTGATAATTGAAATTGATAGACAAAGAAGACACAGGGAGTCTGAAGCAACCCTATTGGTTGAAAGGGGTGGTTCCTATAAACTTAAGGCGAAAATGATGGACTAACTATAAGGCTTCTCGTGGGTTGCTGTCAGTTAGTATATTACCTACCTCCTTTGTCTATTGCAACCTCTCGCTTCCTGGAATAGGATCCCTCCATATCCCTTTTGTCCTCCTTGTCTAAAGCTTTGTCTATCAATATGAATAATCGGCCTGCAGATTGTGCTAATCCATGTTCTATCCCAACTGAGCACCATTCATCAAATAACTTAAATACCTCCTAAAATAAAGGGCACAATGGTATATTAGTGTTTTGTAAAAATAGTAGTGTAATGAAAGAGGTTAGTGTGTAAAATTTAGGCGGAGCTAATTTTTTTAACAACTCTTGTCGGCCTTTAAGTATTATATCTCCTAGACTGATAAATGGCAATTTTGATTACCAGAGTATTTAAATTCATTTTTCAGGAAGTAGCTTTATTCATAAATTCCTCAGCTGACAATCCGAAAAGAACAATCTGTGTTTCATTTGAAATTCTACAATGCCTGTTTGGACTGTATCTTTGAATTATTAGGTACCATGCACAAATGTTGGAGTGCAAATTAGGCCTTTGTGCAGCTAATTTTGAATACTAAGAGTGAGTGCATTCAACGCTAACAGTTTAAAAATTCTGAAAATGTCTTCTTTTTCTTAAAAGTTCTTTTCTCTTTAAAACTTGCCCCAATTTTATTATATCTAATACCTTGTTGATCCGCTCATTGGTTATCATCCTGCAGAGTATTTTTCCAAGTTTCCCCTGTTCTTACATAGATATTTCCAATTGTTTTATGTGATTTTATGATTTTGATTATCTGGCGTTTTCGGTATCCGCAGTAACTCATTGGATAATCAAGGTATTATTGTATTGCATAATTAGGGCATTTCACCATACATAAGCTTAAATAAAAAAGTTTGTTGGACAGCTAACCGGAGATTATCCATGCTCTCTGTCAGTGTTCGAAACGCACCTTTGAGTTTTAGGAGCCATATGGCGCATCAAGCCCGATATTTCGGTGCCATTGAAGATTTTTTAGGGGCCAATTTGACTTTTCGCCTATATATTATGGCGCATTTAGTGAAAAGTTAGACGCAAGATGTTTTAGTAACACAACTAACAAGCAGCTGTAACGAGGGGAAGACAAAAGCACAAATGATGCAATCGTGAAGAATAGAAAAAGCTTCTACTTGTGGTGCTGAAAATTTCGAATAATCAGCTAATATGAAAATTCAGATTTTTAGAGGGCAATTTTTAGGGGCCACGTTGGCGCAGTGCCTTCATTTTTTAGGCGCATTTGGCGCGTTGGCGCCTGTGAGTTTCGAACACTGCTCTCGGTTTTCATTAGATTGGTCTGATTTATTAACGCCTGTTTGCAAATTTTTCAGTTCGGGAGTAGAAAAAGTGAACGAATATATGCCAACGCCTTTTACCCTGGATTGTTTCTGCAAGGACTGCTCCCGAGGGTCATGCAGTGATTCGTCCAAGCAGCGACACTATTACCAATTATATGGAGTTATTATGCACCTGGGTGCAACCATTGCATCAGGTCACTACGTCGCGTATGTACGAGCCCTTGATACGGCGGACTGTCACGCCCATGTCAATTGCCGCCATGCTCGCAAGACAGCTTCTCTTACATCTGCACCCGTCCCTCTATCCCACCCTCACCCGCTCACAACGGAGAAGCAGTCAGGGCTCATGCGATTCTTCAAACGCTCCACCCACCAAACGCAAAGTATGCTCCTAAACGACACTAAATTGTCTCCATTCACATGTCGCAGTTTGGATTGTTGCGGGATTCGGGTGCGAAATGATTCGACAGTGAATAGTGTTGCCCATGAATCCCTATGGCTAGAGTGTGATGACGACACGATTCGGACATTGTCGGAGAAGGACTTCCGGGAGATTTTAGAAATGAAGTCATCAAAAAATTTGGCTTCGACCCCTTATTTGTTGTTCTATGTTCGCATGAATAATGATTAAGGCTTAGTTTGCGTTTCGCTACATTCCACCTAGATCAAAGGACACTCTGTCGCAAAAAAGAGAGTTTTCAATAATTGATACTTGAAAAAAAAAACTGTGAATTTATATCAGGTCAGGTATATTTTACATACTGATTCCTCTCATGGAGAGTCGGATTTTTGCCATGTGCTTGATTGAATCGTTCCGAGTCAGAGGTTGCTACTGTACCTATATAGATAGTTAAGGACTCATTTAGGCAAAACTGAATTATCTGTATCAAGATTTAAATGGTCATTTCCAAGTAGTTAGTTCAAAAATTAGAAATATTTTCACAGCCCTTAGAATAAGAGACATTGGTTGTAGCATAATTTTGTACAGTTGAAAGGACACATTGAAATGTTTATAATTTCCTTTTGCCCAACGCTGTTCATTTTCATTTAAAGATTTGTGTTGGCTGGAAAATTGTAGGCATTAAAAGTGTCAGCTAAGAAAACGTCTTATCTCATGAATTAATGCTTAAAAAAACAAAGGCACTTGCACGCTGTTCTAAGCTGCTTCGAAAGTTTCGGGAAGTCTAACCTTCACCAGACTGCTTGATGTATAAAAAACTATTTTGAAAGAAACGCACACATTGCAACCGTTCTTGTTTTAGTTCCATTCTGCGAAATGATTACTCTTTGATTACGGCAGGGCCTCATCAATGGGAAAAGTTTCCAGCTGAAAAATTGAATCTGCTTGATGCAGAAATTTGTTTTTTTTTAGTTCAGGTTGTTCAGTTTAACTATCAAGTGGTCGTAAGAAGCTTGCTACACTAAATATTATTCATCTTCTTCAATGAGGGGGTTTGCTCCAATAATCATCCTAATGGACTTGTAAAATACATAGGAATGAAGTCTGTGAAAATTTTCTAAAATTCTTCTTCCTTACAACAGTTTTTTATGTTTCAAGGTTTTCTATCGGTGGAAATAGACGGTATAGGAATAATGATAAACTATGTCAGTTTATACATTTTCTAAAAATGATAAAATAGAAAACAATTCTGTGGAAATTTACCTTTTCTTCATGAAGTAGTCCCTTCCATACTGTGCAAAATTATTTGATCCATTTTTAGTATCATGATAAAATGAAATTGTGTTCTCGTCTCAGCGTAAGCTAAGAGGGATTTGTTTTCAATTAAAGCAAAATTATTCTTTGTGCCAAGCTCTCCTATTCAAGCCATTAAAAAATAAGAATGACAAAGATGCTAAGAAATTCCAAGAGCAGAGTATCGCGTTGAGAGTGATATGTGAATAAAAAATTAAACTATGTATTCTTGTAATTCCCCAAAAACGGCTATGTGCCTCATTAACATTTCATGTATCTAATCTTTCTTGTTTAAATATTTT